CTCTGGTCGAATCTGAATGATTCGATCTAAGAGTAGATTAGCATTTATCGTCCTTCTGGGTGGTTCGTCGTTTAGATATCGACCAGCTGGTGAGCTTCCCGCTCATTTTTTCGAATAATTCTCCATTAATCCCTAGCCATAAAGTCATCCGCTTTAAGTCCTTCCTGTCCCATATCAAATGAAAAAAATTATTTTAAATTTTATTTGTTTCTTTACAAAAAATATATATTATTATATATTTAAAATTACACTTGTTGCTTGAGCAACTTAATGTGTTATATTATAGTAATTTTTGTAACTTATATCATATAACTACTTGAAATATAAATATATTAATTAATAAATAATTTTATTTTTCTAATTAATATTAGAAAATAATTTTATTATTGTTATAAAGATAAATATAATTTATTTTTTTTATACATACAATATGGATGTTAAATCGAAGTTCGTCAAGAGATGATTAATTTGATATATTATATATGTAAAACTGATAGAAACTACAAAAATTATTAATTTTTAAAATGCATTTACAATTCAATGGTTAAAATAAGAAATGATATTAAAATACAATCAATGCATGTAATATGACCATAAATAATCAACATATTTATGGATAATTCGGACCTACTTATTTTTAGATTGTAAGTAAATTAAAATCTACCCAAGCCTAATAACGAAGCATGTAAATTTTTTACATATGATCCCGAAGCATGCGAGCCTGCCACTTAGGCTCAACACGTTATGAATTAATATATACTAGTACAACACCCGTGTATTACACGGGTGCTTGCTAATTTTTTTTTCTGAAAATCTAAAATTAACGAGAAAAAGTAGTTTGAAAATTTAAATACCTTTTACATGAATATATATATATATATATATATATTATTATATACTTATTATGACACTTTTTATTTGTGCAACTTATTTGTCTTATATTATACTAATTTATTTAACTTACAATATATAACTACATTACATATAAATATATCAATTGAGAAATAATTTTATTTTTCTAATGAATTTTAATAAATATTATTATTTTTTATTATTATAAATTTATTTATTTCATATCCTCCCTATATATAATTCCAGAATGCGCTGAGCCTACGTGGCTGCTTCTAGTGCTTCGAAATCCTATTTGGCGAAGAATCATGCTTCGTAATTAGGTTTGGATAAATAATATTGATATATTAATAATTAATAACCTAGGTTCAGGTATTCCATAAATATTATTTAGCTAATTTAGGTATTTTAATATCACTTTTACTAATATAACCCTTTAATTCTTTGTAATTTTACATAGTATATATCCTTGAATTTTGCTTTGTTTCCTTCAATAAGCTATTGAATTATAATTGTATTTTAAAAGTTGATAATTTTTGTATTTATTATCGGTTTTACATATATAATATATCAAATTAATTATCTTTTGATGATCTTCGATTTGACATCCATATTGTATATATATGAAATAAATAAATTACATTTATCTTTATAATAATAAAAAATAATAATATTTATTGAAATTCATTAGAAAAATAAAATTATTTTTCAATTGATATATATTTATATGTAATGTAGTTATATATTGTAAGATAAAAAAATTAGTATAATATAACACAAGTAAATTGCAAATAAAAAGTGTCATAATAAATATATAATAATATATATATTCTTATAAAATGTATTTAAATTTTCAAACTACTTTTTTCTCATTAATTTTAGATTTCAAGAAAAAATTAGCAAGCACCCGTTTAATATACGGGTGTTGTACTAGTGTATTTTAAAAGTTGATAACTTTTGTATTTCTTATCGGTTTTACATATATAATATATCAAATTAATCATCTTTTGATGATCTTCGATTTGACATCCATATTGTATATATGAAATAAATAAATTATATTTATCTTTATAATAATAAAAAATAATAATATTTATTAATATTCATTAGAAAAATAAAATTATTTCTCAATTAATATATTTATATGTAATGTAGTTATATATTGTAAGTTAAAAAAATTAGTATAATATAACACAAGTAAGTTACACAAATAAAAAGTGTCATAATAAATATATAATAATATATATAATCTTATAAAAGATATTTAAATTTTCAAACTACTTTTTCTCATTAATTTTAGATTTTAAGAAAAAAATTAGCAAGCACCCGTGTAATACACGGGTATTGTACTAGTATACAATATGGATGTCAAATCGAATATCATCAAAAGATGATTAATTTGATATATTCCCCATATATATTAATACAGAATGCGCTGAGCCTACGTGGCTGCTTCTGGTGCTTCGGAATCCTATGTGGCAAAATTACATGCTTCGTTATTAGGCTTGGGTAGGTTTTAATTTAATTCCAAACCAAAAATAATTAGGTTCAGATTACCATAAATATGTTTATTATTTATGGTCATGTTACATGTATTAATTGTATTTTAATATCATTCCTTATTATAACTATTGAATTGTATATATATTTTAAAAGTTAATAACTTTTGTATTTTTTTATCATTTTTACATATGTAATATATCAAATTAATCTATTTTTGATAAGCTTCGATTTAACATCCATAATGTATGTATAAAAAAAATAATTTATATTTATCTGTATAACAATAATAAAATTATTTTTAATATTAATTAGAAAAATAAAATTATTTATCAACTAATATATTTATATTTCAAGTAGTTATATGATATAAGTTATAAAAACTAATATAATATAACACATGTAAGTCATAAGTAACACATATCATTCTAAAATATATAGTAATATATATATTTTTTTTTTTTGTAAAAAAGTAAACTAAATTTAATATAATTTTCTCATTAATTTTAAAATTTAAGAATAATTTTTTAACAAGCACCCGTGTAATACACGGGTATTGTACTAGTTATATATGTAAAACCGATAAGAAATACAAAAGTTATCAACTTTTAAAATACATTTATAATTCAATAGCTTATTGAAGGAAACAAATCAAAATTCAGGGATATATTAGTCACTTAGTGCCTCACTATGTAAAATTACAAAGAATTGAAGGGTTATATTAGTAAAAGTGATATTAAAATACCTAAGTTAAGTTAATAATATTTATGGAATACCCGAACCTAGATTATTAATTATTAATATATCAATATTATTTATCCAAACCTAATTACAAAGCATGATTCTTCGCCAAATAGGATTCCGAAGCACCAGAAACAGCCACGTAGGCTCAACGCATTCGAGAATTATATATAGGAAGGATTTGGGATAACACATATTTATGCTATAAAATCATGTTTTATTCTTATTTACTGTTATTCTAAAGTATGGCATTTTAGTTTAAAATGAAGTTCCTATCTCTATTACAAACTTTAATTATCTAACCGTTAGATCTGCCGAACATTAATGTTATTGGTAATGTTTTTTTTTGGCTACAATGTTATTGGTAATGTTAATTAAGGGCACCCGCATCGCTTTAATTTTTCGGGCGTTTAAACGCCAACATGGCGTTCAATCCTTGTTGTGGGCATTCGTTAATGTGGAGGCCCCACTATGGCGTTCAAAGGGCTGAATGCGTTCAGCCACTATTTTTTTATTTTATTTTTATTTTTTTTCTTTTTATTTTAAACCAAAATACTTGTTGCTTTCACTTCTCTTTTGTTTTTTTGCGCATTCTGCTTTTGTATTTTTTTTTTAAGTTTTAAAATAGATGTTTATTCAACTTTCTTTTGTTTTTTTTGTTTTAAAATAATTGTTATTTCAATCTTATTATTCTTTATATTTAATTTATTTTTGTAATTCTACTATTTTTTGTGTAATCTCAATTTAAGATATTTTATCCTTGAAGTGTTTTTTATTTTCATTCATTTAAAAATAATTACTATAATTTAAAAATATTAAATTTTATTTTTATTTAGAATAGAATATAAAAATTTATATTGAATAAATGGATAATGGGTCCTACATATGTAGTTAAATAAATGTGTATGAATGTTGGTGTGTGTTTAAATGGAGAGAGATTTAGTGGAAAAGTGATGTGGAGATGATGTGGATGAGAGAGAGTGTTACTTTTTGATTGAATTAATGGTATTTGTGTTAAATGGATGTGGATGCCCTAAGTAAAAGGTGTTATGAAGTGAAAAGATAAATAAGTGACACTTTAAATAATATATAAATAAAATAACTATAAATTCATGTGTATAAACTAAAAAGGTTACATAATAAATTATAAAAAAAAAATAATAACTCTACCAAGATTATTATAAACTTGCCAATATGTGTTTTTATATTTATTTATTTCCTATATTTATTTATTTCCTAATACATAACCTTCTATATTTAGTACATAATTTTTAGTAGACGATTAAAGGTACATCTGAGTGAGACATAGATGGGGATGGCGCGCAAGACAACAAATGGGGCTTAATGGGCCGGGTTGAAGCCCATATGTTGAGGCCTGAGAACAGAGCTAAAATAACCACCCTCACTCAGAGCTAAAATAACCGCCCTCACTCAGCCCAATGTTGATGCCAAGTGTTTGAGCACTTGGAAAATTTTGGTTGGAGGAGAACATTGTCTTTATTTTTGTTCTTGCGAGTGAGAGACCGAATTGTGGTTACCAACTACATTTTTGAAAGCCGACTCAGGTTGTATAACTTTCAATTTTGTTCAATACAAATTTATTTAAGGATAAAAAAAAAACAAGTTATCTAAGCAAATTATTATTTATTAGGTATATTATGATTACTGGGGCAAATAAATTATATATATTTCAACAACTAACTGCTCCGTTGATTGTTAATCAAGCCTAACTTCTAACCGTTGATTGTTATCTAAGCATATATATATGTTTCATCAATAATCGTCCAACCTTTAACCGCTAATTAAGCAAGACCTTTGTTAAACTTCGCCACATGTATAATTGCGACTTCATTATAAATATATATCATTTGTTCGCATATGAAAACGAATAATTTTACTTGTAGATGATATTTTGCATATAATTAAAAGTACTGTACATACTATTATAAGTCTATAACAATATTCTATTTAATATTTTATTTGAATGAACCTCATTTAACGTGACACTATGTTATGCAGTACAATATTATGTATATGTAGCATTATTTATAACAATATGTATCAGACCATAATTGTACAATTTTATTTGCAATATATGACAAGTCAACTCGAATAAGGCGTTGTGGCTCCAAACGAGCTAAGTAATGAGCTCAAGTTTGGTTGTTAATTAATATTAGCAAGCTGAGCTCGAGCAAGACATAAGCCTTAACGAGCTGAATTAGATATTAAAAAAAAAAATCTTTTCAGATCTTATCGAACAAATCGTGTCCATTTTGTTATTAAGCAAGTTTTAATTAAGGTCGAGCTCAAGTCGTTTGGTAAACCAAGTCAATTTTACGAGTAACTGGTTTTGTTTAACAATGGTACTCCAAACAACCTCTTTTTTTTTTTAAAAAAAAAAAAAATTAGTTATAGCTTATTTGAATTTTGATGAGTCCATTGCAAATGGAGTTGGAAGAGTCAATGTTGACAATTCTTTTGGCATCGTGCAAATAATGGACTAGATCAAAATAGCTCAATTAAATTCTAGTGCTTCTTCTATTAGTGAAGTTTCTAGAAAAAATATATCAAACGACGCAACGCACCTTGGGTCGCTATGGAAACAGCCTCCTTGTATAATTACAAGGGTAAGGTCTGCGTACAACTGACCCCCCAGACCCCAACCTGTTTGGGAATATACTGGGTATGTTGATGATGATTGATGATGATTATTTGAATTTTGAAATAGATGTAGAAATAGGGAGAATGAATTATCTTTCCTCTTTTGGCCTCTTGTATTTCAGATCTTAAATTGACAGTTACAATTAGAGGCCGTATATAAGACACGTCCAATTCTATTTCTAATTTCTCATCCAACATTGAAAGGCATTAATATTTGAATCAATTTTGTATGTTTCCTCAATAATTAGGTATTGCTTGGACAAAATCTACCTAATTTCCGAACCTTGTATTAATTAAATTAGTAAAATATGCGCAGATAATACACATTTAAGGAAACCGTGTTTGCCTATAATCGCGTTTTTCTTCCATAAATTAATTCAATGAGCTGTGAGAATGAAGAGAACAAATTGCCATAAATTGACCAACAAGGGCTTTAATTCTTAGATTTAATCAGCCTATAGTGTATATAATGACTGGCAAAAGATAGAAACTAGATTTCCAGTACAAGTATTATTTCAATTAAAACCAATAAAGTAGTAGGAGACTTGATCGATGCACTTGTGGTCCATGTAAGTTTTAATTGTCCGATCACACACACGTACACACATATATGTAGCGGTTATATGTTGATTGAACGGTCAAAATTTCAGCGAAGATAGTGCCCGTTGAAATATGGTGAAATTCACTGTTTACGGACTTGACCGTGAGATAACTGAAACACGTCCCATCCTATCGAGTCACAACTCACAAAATCATTTCCATATCAAAAAAAGAAGATTTTAAATTAAAATTTTATACACTTAATTTTAAGAAAATATGGAAAAAAAAAATTCAAAATTTTCACAAATTTGTAAATAATCAACGCTTAAATATAATTCAATCATACAATATATTTCTTTGGAAGATAGTACAAAAGCACTTTCTCAAGTTGATTATGGGTCATTCAAGGTCGATTTTGGGTCGTTCTGGGGAAAGGCAAAGGCGAGAAATTGTTGGATCGCCTAACGCGTACCATATTTGTCTTCATGTCGACAAGATGTTAGCTAAAGCTGGTTATTCAATCTGCAAAACAGTGTCGATAGTCTCGAATACTCGGAGAAAAAGAACGCGTACACACACATAAACACAAGGGTGTGAGAGAAAGAAGCTAATAAATGTGTACTTCAACCCCCTATGTGATGTGAAGGGTTTTTTAAGTGGTATTATTAGGCCTCAAATATCAAACACTGGCAATATTGTTGGAGAATTGAATGCATTT